CTTGGCGGGTGGAGAGAGGGGCGAGAATTAATTATCTCCCTCGCGGGTATTGGGCGTGTATCCGTATAAATTTTCAAGAGTTTGTAATTAAATGTAAATTCAGGCCGAAAACTCTCGAATAATTAAATCCGTCACCGGACACGAAACGATTCCGATGAATATTTCACACTAAGCGCGATAAAAAAAAAACCATCCCTGTATACTCCCCCCAACCCCCTTTTTTTGTCCAAGGAACAAAAAAAGGTGGGGGGGGGGCGTTTAACCCGGTGTGATTTAAATGTAATCGTTAATCATGCTTTTTGACGCGCAATTCGGGAGATAAGAAACTCCCATTACGGGGGAAAATAACATCACACAGCAGCAGGCAACAAAAGGGGGCGGGAGGGGGGAAAGGATCTCCGGTATCGCGATTCATCACGGGGATCCGCATCAAAATACATTAACCGTGCACGGGGCCAAAGTTGGAAAAAAAAGGGGGGAGGAAGGAAGAAAAGCAAGGGATGAAGGGCGCTCGCACTTTCTCGAACAAAAGGAGCTTTGGTCAGCCCGCGCTGCGAGGCGGAAGGCGCGAGAGCCGTCGCCGCGGAAAAGGGGTGCCAGCATCCCCGAGATTCCATTAAGATCTCTCCAAGAAGTCCAAGGGGTGGGGGGCGCCCGCAAACCTCGCAATAAAACAGCCCCCGATTTTCCTCCCTCGGAGGGGGTGGGGGGCTTTTTTGGCTTTGAGTTTTGAAAATTCATCCATGTGCGCGGGCGTGTGGTAACCCCTCGTTGAAAGCAATCTCGGAAATCTGGATGGCTCTGATCCGCAAACAGGGAAATCGAGAGCTTTGGAAATGGGAAAAGCCGGGGCATCGCGTTTTATTTCGGCGCTGATGAGAAAACAGCGCCGGCTGCCGGCGAAACAAAACGGGGGCAAAGTCAATCAAAACATTAATTGAAAGACTCGGCAAGACAATGCACGGGGGGTGGCTCTCTCTCTCTACTCTACTCCCCCTCTTTCGCTCCCGATGATCGTGAGATTGATCTGACTGCTGAGGTGTACCTTTTTTCTCCCCCCCAACTCCTCGACGAGTGCTCCGGAAAATTTTGCCTGTACATCCCGATAGTCGTGATTAAATGAATGTTGTTGTTGTTTTTTTTTTTTCTTCCCGCAAGGGGGCAATAATAAAGTGTTGGTTAAAAAGGAAAAGTAATTAAGCCGCTCTCGGGGATTTCGGAGGGGCAATAAATTTGTAGCGACTGACGCGGGTTCACGGCGGCAAGAGCCCGGAATAAAATGGGAAAGAAAACCGAAAGAATGGAGGTAGGGGGGGGGCAAGTATAGCGGAATGCACTCCGGAAGAGCTGCGGAGATAAGTGAAAGAGATCGGCGGCCGGGGCGGGCCCTCCGATAACTGCTGGATAATGTCGAGGCTCCTCTTCTCTTTTGACGCTGCGGTAGCAGCTCACTCGGGCTCGACTCAGGAAAAAAAAAATGTTTGGTATTTGCGCGCGGCTGTTTTGCCGATGCACTTAAACTTCAGATTGACTCCGCGCTCATCGATTAGATAGCACTGTGATTTTCTTTTTCTTTTCTCCCTCATCTTTTTACAATAATCGATGCACGCACAAATGAAAGCAATTAACGATTCTCGCTCTAATCACAATGACATTTCTTTCCGAAACGAAAAAAACAAAAAAAAACTCGCGGCTATCGCCACATACCGAGAATAATTATACTCCGGTCGGATAAGATAAGCAAATTTCACGCTTCTCGAAAACGAGATTGCGATGGGCCCAATCTATATTTTTTCCTCGAAAAGTCTATATATACACCGTACGCGCAAGGGACGGAAAAAAAAGTGCACGAGGCCGCCACCTGGCGTGACTCCCGGGGACTCTCTGCCCGCCCGGTACCTCCTTCGATACCATGCACCGGCTGCAAATTGAAAATTCCGAGAAGCCGTAGGTACGACCTTTGTGGGTACACCTATAGCCCAAGCTTTTGATGGTCGCGTCCCCAAGCCGAGCGGCTACTCGCTCCTATACGTACAGCATTTATCTCCATTGAAATCGTGCGCGCGAGCCGTCGCAGCAATTAGTGTAAATTTAACGAAAACGCACTCGCTGGCACTACGGAGGGGGAGTGTAGCGCCCTACGTAACGTGTACGCGCCAAATGGGGGTGGGTGCATGGGGGGGGGAGAAATAACGCAATTTCGTATATAGCTCTGTAACGAACTAGCAGCATTCATTAGTGCGCTCACCGGATCCCTCGCTTGCCCCTTCGTATACCTACTCTATCTCGGGGCTCTCCGCTGCCTTGTTTTAATTTATTTACTTACACGCGTGCCCCGCCGCAATCTACGGAGCAAACTCAGCTTCCACAGGCTAGCATGTACGGAGCCACGCGACGATGCTACAGCCTGTACCGTGTATTATACGGGAGTTTCAAGAAAGAAAAAAAAAGGGGGGGGGGAGAAGGACTCGGTGTGGATTATAATTAAATGCAAATCAAAATCAGCCGAAATTAAGCTCCCTCCTCCTCGCGAGCTTTCATTACTGCTAATGACTCGCTTCTCTCTGTATTTATCTGTAGGAACGCGTGTCCGCTTCCTCACCCCCCGCGACTCGACGAAAAATCATCATTAGCGGGGAATTATTATTTGCTCATTTGGCGCGACCTTTGGCCTACGGTGTGTGTATGTGTGTACAATATATTATACACGTATGATACCTGCACGGTGCATCTCGTGTGCTTTTATTTATATTTGTGAGCCGATGACAACGCCAGCTGAAAATTACTTGTTTAAGTTGCCAAGGGTCTGGAGGGTGCAGAACTCTGTTTGGCAATCAAGATAATTTTTTTTGGTTCTTTTGACTCGACTGATGGGTCTAAAAAAAAAAAAAAAATAGGATTACAAATAAGGGTGTCGTTGATCAAAAACACGGAAAAACAAAGCAGACCATTGTAACGAGCGAGTATACCGTTGCCGAGGTCTAATTAGCCGCACCAATTTGCCCCAGGGGGATGGGAAAAAAAAAAAATAAAACACTTTGCTCCCCCTCCCTTTCCTCGGGTATATCGTACAATATATAATGGGTGTATTGTGTACACCAGAGCCGAGCTTTTCCTCCTCGTGACATGATGAATATACATCGAGCATCGGCACTGCAACCAAACAGAGAGAGTCGTTCCGTGGATACACACAGCGGAGAGTATATATTGTATATATATAATAGCCTTAACCCTTCCGCTCTCTGGGACTTCAAACGAAATAATTAAGCCAGAGGCGGCGGCGGTGGAGGAGACTAACGAGTCCGCGGCGGGAACTAGCGCCAATTATCGAAATCCAAACGCGGACACGTCCGTGGAGGAAGGAAGGAAGGGTGGAGATATTATATTGTACGTCTATACGTGCAGAGGGAGCATTGTAGCTTATGTATATATACACCTACGAGCCTCTCGAGCCGGGAATGTCAGGAGGGGCTTGTATTACCTTCTCGAGAGCGGTGTCGATTCCTCCTCTTTTTTTTTTTTTTTTGCTTTCTTTCCTCTCTCCCCCTGCCCCTCATCCTCGACAGAGTAGTACAAAAGACTGAGAAATGAGGTGGTGGAGGCATTCGCGTATAAAGAGCGAGGGGAGTATAATATCAAGTGGTGAAACGAGAGAACGGGGGTCTTTTTCGCAGCCTTTGAGCGATTAATTTCTTTTCATTGGCGCGTTTGTTGCCGTATCACCGCAGGCACTTGATGATTATTATTAGCTGATGCTTATTAGCCGAGACTGCGGTGCTGCAGCGGCTCTTGATTGCCCTCCCCCCCCCCCTTTTTTTTTCTTTCCAGTTTTAATTGAACGACCCTTCTGCGATCGGGTATGACGAAAACAGTTCAACCCTCCTTGTTTTTTCCTTGTTTTTTTATTCCTTGCGTGGGTGATACTTGCGCGTGACGATTCGAGGGGGGAAATTAGCCCACTCGAACGAGAGGGACGATGAAATGCAGTGGCGCAAAAGAGGTTCATCGGAGCCCCCCGCTGGAAGTCTGCCAGTCGGTCGACCTTCCTCGCGCGGAGGGAGGACGATACCTGCGACTACACGTGACAAATGTGGCTCGCAGCTCTTGGTTACTCGATAGACGCGTCGTCGGATGGGGTGCCTTTGCTTTTTAATGCGCACAGAGAGAAAAAAAAAATAACCCCTCCCACGGAGTAATTATAGATAAATCAGCGATCTACCTAAATCAGGGTCTGATCCGGCATCGCAGCGAGTTAATCCGCTTTTCATGCCGTTGCACCGCACGAACGCCAGAGCGCTTCCTTGATGGGAATAAAAATAAAAAAAGTGCGCGCGGGTTAGTGCATGTGTGTGTGTGTGTCTGCATGTGATGCGGCGTGTGCGGTGGCGGGATTATGTGTACCGCGTGCGCGCCGAACGAAAGGGAGAGCGAAGGAGGAGAAGAAAAATAGCGAACTTTTAAGGGATCTCTCTCCCTCTCGAAGCTCCTACAGGTATGTAATATGAGGGCTTTGTGTGTGTGTGTGTGTGTGTGTGTGTGTGTGTGTGTATTCAGTAAGAGACATCGGAAGCCTTATTGCAACTCAACTACATGTGTGTGTGTGTGTATACGGCAAAGCGTCTTACGTGGCTCGAGTAATTGATACGACGACACCGAGTGCCTCTACATCACTTTGTATCCTTTTACTCGCTCTAATAACGTCTCGCATTAGCGCGAAAAATTACTAAGAGGCGAGGTCACTTTTCCTTTTTTTTTTTTTTTTTTTTTTTTTTTTTTTTTTTCACTCGATTTAATGAGAAAAATTATCGAAAATTTTCTTTGTTAATGGCATGATCTTTGCTCGCAACAACATTAAAATAAAAAAAACCCTCATCTCTTTTTTCAGCAAAGAGAAGCTTTTCCAGGTTGGAATTTAATTTAATTGGCATTGCTCGAGTCACGGACGAATAGCGGAAAAACAGAAAAAAACATGGAATAATGAATTTTCAACAAAATCCTACCTGATGACAACGACGCGGAGTTTTTCCTCGACTTCACGTTGGGAGCAATTTTGACGAATAGTAAATCTTCACTTTGCCAATTTGAACAAACAATCGAAAAACGAACAAACTGTTGTACAATTAAAAATTCTAAAACAAACAAATAAGTTTGTCCAACAGAGTCACTTCACAGTTTTCCAAAATCACGAACAAAAGTCAAGCCTCGCCGGGGCGTCCCAGCCAAAATCGCAAGTCCTTTGGAAGTTAATTTCCAAAGTTCCCTCGAGTGCACCCAAAGGCAGGAGAGCGCCGGATGAAGAGCGAAGCGCGCGCCTCGACAGCCGGCTATAAACTGCCGCGTGTAGTCGCTGGCACGCCACCACCACCACTACCGGCGCTATAGCGACATAAATCCCGCTCTCTCGTTCCCCTCCTTGCCACCTCTACGACCCCTATCTCGGCGCTGGTGCAACCCCTGTTTTCCCCACTCCGTAAGCTACAGCCCCACCACCAAGAGCATTCGAGGGGAATCAGGGGAACGGCTATCGATACTTCCCCGCCGCACGCGCGTGCCTCGCGTTCTCCTCCTCTCCTCTGCTGCTCGCGGTACATAGAGTCGCGATTCACGCTTGCCATATACCATCGCGTGTGCGTGCATGTATATACGTGCACATATATGTATATGTGGGCGCTCTCGCTTAATGCCACATGCCACGATGTTGCAGCTACATTCATACATTAATACTGTGCCCTGCACCCCGAGTACTCTTTATATATATATATCCTCATGCGATGTGACGTCCCAACTACTGCGCTGTTATTACTATACCTACACCGATACACCTATACTACCACCGTGTACTCTCTGCTCGTTTGTCTTTTGAGCCGGTCTATATATATATATATATATATATATATATATATATATATACACTATTCGTCGATTCGATGCGGGCATGTTTGACTGGCTTGATTTCTTTTATCTCGTGTCTTCTGTCTATCTCTCGCTTTTTTTTTTTCTCTCATTCGCTGCTATCGTTTTGAGTAATTGGTTTTATTGATTTTTCGAGAGTTTCGCTTCATTTGCCACCTATGTGTACATTCATCAAGAAAATCCACGCCAGTGATTCGTTGAATACCTCCGCGCTGTTTGCACAGGATATTATATACGAATATTCAATGTATGCACACAGAGCGTATCCGTTGGCTGATGGCGCGCAATCGAGGACAAAGTTGCGCAATGTGCCGTACACTCGTTTAGGTGACTCGATAAATAAGCAATCGCGAGGGGAGCGCAACGTCGAAGAAAACGTACACTCGTTAACCAAATTCTGGGTGAGGCCCACACGCCGCGGTATTGTTACGTATTTCATTAGTCACGATTCGTGATTTTCCTAAATATCTTTCGAGGAAGAATCAATTTTTCGAGACTAAATATTGCAACATAATACCCTCGTTGTGGTTGTTCACAATTGATGGTAGAAGCAGTAGCGCAAAGAGGGGGTAAAAGCAAAAAAAGAAAACTTGATTAGACGCAGTGAGCGAACGAGTGCCCGTATTATTAGGACTTGTATCGCTGAGGGGACACGAGGGTAGGAGAGAGAGAGAGAGAGAGGAAGGGTGCGCGAGTGGCAGGGAAGGGAGAGAGAGCACAAGAATCCCAATTAAGCGCGTGCTGCGACCACCCCTTCCTAGCCGCTCTCTCTCTCTCTCTCTCTTTAATCGCGAAAGAAGCTAGCCGCTCCAAAGGCCGGGGTGTGTATACGAATGTACACACAGCCGGAGCAATAAAGGCGCCCGTACAGCTATACCAGCCCGGCCGAAAAGAGAGCGGGAGGGGTTATAGCCATCAAGAGTCGAAATAAGCGAATAGCCCGACTATAGCTAGTATGTACGTATATACTGCCGTACAACCTACTGGCGTGACGGCAGCGCGCCGCGCGAAATTGCTCCTGCGACGCGCGCTCGCCCCCGACCCCCTCCTCCCCTCCCCAATGCTTATACAAGACTGCGCCCCTCCATCGGCAACCCCTTCATCCCCACCTCGGACTGTTTATCCCTACCGCTGCGCTGTCATCCCCTTCAGCTCTATACCGTGAGCGAGTATACACACTGTAAGCACGCGCTCGTTCTCGTCCTTACAAGGCCACACCTCCCATTACAAAAATTACACCGGTCCGCTGATTTAGTGGTGTTGCGCTCTGGGCGTCCGACGGAAGTAAAAGGGGGGAAAATCTAAGTAATGAAAGGGTTGCGCGCTCTCCTTATTTCTCGGGGACTTCCCTCCTTCTCTCGCCACCGGAATCGCGGAATCATTCGCCAGATTAAATTAGAAAGGCTATCGGGCGCGGGGGCTATTCTTCTCCCTCTCCCCCCCCCTTTTTTTTTTCTCCTACACTTTTATTCCTCGTTCCTTTCATTATCCGCCTCGCGTCCTTCGTGTATCGGATGCTCGCTCGTTTGCCCACTTTTTTAATAAAGTGCAAGATTTAATTAGTTCGAAAGTCCATACGCTGCGTACTCCCAAGTGATTTAGAGGAGCCGTTGCTCCTCTTGTATATGTCGTGTTGGCTTTGAAGTTTCGCGTGGCGGCTACACCTATATGTAAACTATACGTTTACACGCGTATATACGTATATATTCTTGGCCCCGTTAATTTAATTGAATGAGTAATGCCGGAAACATTTTACGACCAACTCGCCACCTACTGATTTTTTTGTTAACCCCTGTCGCAAACCTTTCCCGCGCACGAGACAAACTGCGCGTTTATTCATCAGGGAAAGGCTTCTCGGTACAATCAACGCCTAGCGAGGGGGGATTTTTTATCCACTTCCCAGCTCCATATAGTCGATACCTTATACAGCTGACCGTATTTATACCCACAAAATCGGCAAACCTGGACACGTCAGGCTGTACTGGGCTTGGCTCGTCGGGGGGACAGCAGCGCCCACTATCCTCGTCCCTTTTAATTAGCGCGTGATTTACGAGCAACGAAAAACGACGGAACAAAAAAAGAAAATTAAAAAACAGGAGCTCTGCACTGCCAACTCGTCACGTTGTACCTTTGCGGAGGATATAAGTGACTTTCGGGGGGGGGGGGTGACGAAAGACCCCTGATTGGAAGAGTCCTAATGGCATTGTGGCTCGATGCAGGGAAAAAAAGAGCAAAGAAGAGCGCCGGTCACCGAACTCGCCTCCGAGTCCCGTGTGCGATCGGCACATCTGTTTTGATTGCGCGTGAGAGAGGGTGATTCTTCGCGTCCCAACCAACTGTTGGAAAATGCCTGTGAAAATTTCGCGGAGCCCCTGTATCGTGGCAAAGTACATCAAGGAGGGGCGAAAAGGACGAGGGGGTGGCGGAGGGAGTAGTGGAACGGAAAGTTAGGGAGGGGTGGGCCAGGAGGAAGAGGACGGCGGTGGAGTACTAATCACTTCTGGGGACTTTAATGGAGGTTTTCTGTACGCCGTCTACTTTGTCCTCTACTTATTCTACTCCTGCTTGAGCGCGAAAGAGCGGGGCGAAGGGGAATCGCGCAGGGTGGGAGTGGGAAAGCCGAGCGGTGCACGTTGGCTCGGCTGAAAGTGGAGTGCCTCGGAGAAAAGACGGGCGAAAAGTATCATTACTCGCATTAAGCGAAAAAAGCCGCAGTCATCTCCCCCCCCCTCCTCTCTCTGCAACTTCCCTTTCTTTTATTCCTCTCGAGAGTTTTTTTTTTTTTTTTTTTTCTTTCCTCTTTGCTCTCTCTTTTTTTCCCTCTGGTACTTAATAAGTATACACACTGCAGCCTAAGGTGCGATTGGCTATCAGTATTACTACACGCGTTAAATGTTTTTGCCTGCGAGTATACATACTCTTACAAATGGCACGTCCGTATAAGCTTGGAAGAACAATAAGTAAGGGATGATCGTGTCCAAAGTGTAAACCTAACATATATTATATACATCCCGGATGAGCACAAAAGCACACACGAGAGCGAAGGGAGTCGGGGGGGGGGGGGGTAAAAGTTTTTCCTCGTCCGAAGAGTGCCTCAATTTCTCCAAGAGACAACTACTCCCGAGTATAACAACCTCGACGCACTCGCGCACAATGGAATTAAGAAAGCTCATAACCAGAGTGGACAAAAAAAAAAAAAAAAAGAAAAAAAACACTCACACAAGAGTGCAGGGAAAGGGGTGGCAGAGACACTCGGCAGACATCGCGTTGTTATATCTGCCGTATAAGAGATGAGCTAGACTAATTTCGAAAATAAAGGGAAGACGGGCTGTGACGAGTCGAGCGGAGAACGGGGGAGAGCAAAAATGTATCAGCGAAAATTTGATGGGCAAGTTTTGTCACCGCCACTCGGACAATTCCCGATATTGATATCCGGAATGGCCCCCTCCATCACTCCTCGACGCCAACGTGTATTTATATATACATATATATACACTCTCGTGTCTCCTCTCTCAATGCCAATACACACGCGTACGAGAGTGCACCAGCTACGTACACACGTGTACTACACCAGCCGCTCCGAGTTTCGGGGACCACGCCAAGGTGGGGTGGGGCAAGAGCGTCACGGTTCTCCGGCCGCCGCGCTCCTACACGCTCTCGCACTCCATCTACGAATTTCCCGCATCTGCCCTCTTTCTCTCGCTCTATATTTCATCATCTCGGGGGCTCTCTTCTCCTCGCTTATTCTACATCTCAGGCGAGCGTCCCGAGATTTATTATGCAGGGGCTTGATGTTGTATCGAGTATCGAACGCGCGCGCGACCGGACCCTGGGAAAAGAGGAGGACTCGGGCGTATATTGGCCCATCCATACCCTCGTTTTTTCCCCATACACGTATCCTCACACTCGCGCGAATTCCCTCTTTTTCGGTCGCGCATAGGTAGGGATGTATGTGTGAATTGTTTTTCTTTTCCGATGATGGGAAACAAAGCTGGTTACGTAACGGGTGGCCCTCGCCGAGAGGAGGCTTAATTAATTTTCCTATCTCGCGTGTGTAATCGCCAATATTCGCCCGAGGAAGCGTTGTACCTATCGACAAAACTGGCGCGCTCACGCAACTTTAAAAACGAAAAAAAAAAAAAAAAAAAAAAAAAACAATCTGAGCCGAGAAAATATGTATAAATATATATGAATTACACCGGAGTGTAAAAACGAGAAGTAGGAAGAAGAAGCAGAGAGGGGGAT